AGAGAAGAAGTAGAATTTCTTTAAATCAGGGATTCCCAATGACTTGCCAGTTGCCTAGGGAGCCACTGTCACTGGCAGCTGTGACCTCGGGCCCCTCGACCACAAAGGACCTGAGGGAGGTCTGGACGGAGGTGTCGTGTTAGCGGAATCATGGACCAGCCAAGATGGGGGAGCGGCACCTAGAACCCCCAGGTAACAAATAAATCGAGCTTGTCTGCACTGTCTGATGGCAGAAGAGGGTGACAAAAAGCCCATGTGCTCAGTCGTGGCGTTAACGGCAGCGAGTTCTTGCTCAGTGACACCAGTCTACAAGCCTCTCCTCCATCCCTGCCTACAACTCTCTTCCCAACCCCCCACCCCCAATATATCCTAAGGCAGGTCTGAATCATTATGGTCAAAACCAATAAAACCATTGTCATCCTCCTCCAAATGCTTTAACTTTTAAACTCAAAGGAGATAACGCTCCCTCCACAGTTTACTGCATGTCTTGCGTTAGCTTTCCAAATCCTCGCCAGAAGCTTGTGAGTTAAAGACTCCATTCCACAGTCGAAGAGGCTGAGGTTAAGGAAATTGCATATGGTCTAATGTCCCCAAAGTGGCATTCAGTCCAAGACCCCTCCCTGCCTCTCCTCTCAAGCCGGCAGCTGCAGACCCTAATTCAAGAGCCCTAAAATTCAGGGTCCATGCTCCATGTCCCTTCCAAGATGTCGCTTATGAATACACACTCACATGCAAACACAAGCACATGGGCACAGAGCATGCAACGCACCACTGCTGGTGACATTGCAAAACTGCTAATCAATCTACGTATCCCTAACGAATGTGAGGTATACATCTGTATACGGATGTATATAATTCATATGGAGTGGTATGCTGCTATTAAAAAAACAAGGTTAATTACTAAGATCTAAAAATTTAAATATTATGGGAGGAAATCGAGGGAGAAAAAAATATATGTTATAAAACATAAGCATGTAAACAAACAAAAAATGATGCTTATAAACACACAGACATTTTCTGGATGGGTCCAGAAGGAACTGGAGAGAAAAATGATTCGCATGTGTTTAGGAATTAGGAAATTAGGAAATGTGAAGTTGGCTTTCACTACATACCCTTCTGTCCTAACTCACGATAACGATGGAATCGCCAATATTCTACCAGCTTTGACTTGACAGACAAAGCAGTTTCGTGTGGTTCTAACTAATATTTAATCTTTCTCTTTTTAAACCATAATCATATTTTACTTCTACGATGGAAAGGAATTCTGGGCCCCGGGACTCAGAGAGACAGATGGTCTTCAGGGCTCTGGACAATGGCCTGTGGTGTCCACTGCCCAAGCTCCCCATAACACAAGCTGGCGGGGAACAGAGAGGGGGCGCTCATCGTTGAAACGCTCTCTGACTGTGTGTCAGGAAGTGATACCACTCTGAAGAGCACCTCGCGTCAGGCTCACCTTGAGCCCGCGCTGATCTAATGCAGTTTCGGTTCTCTGAAGTCTCATCACTTTGAAGAAATGGAAGCAACATGGTATCAGCTAGTGACGATTTCATTCTGTCACCTGATCAGCCAAGTATCGATTCAATCAGAGTGTGTCTGACAGAGGACAAGAGGCAGAAATGTCACGTGGCTGCCGTGACTCACCTGACCAGAAGTTGTACAAGCGATGTTGTCCCTCGTCCAAGCATAGAAATCACACGAGACTTCTGATCCCACCGTGGACACTGTGAGGAAGCTACAGGCCTCATCCGACGCACATTCTGCAAGCAACATGGGCCAGTTATCCACCTCTCAGGTGAGGCTGAGGACAGATGAAACATACCCCCACCAATGGCCCGCCCCCAACACACACACACGCACGCACGCACACACTCGCACATACACACACACCAGCAACATGGGACGACGATGACTACTCATGAATGATTATAGGATTATGAGACGATCCTTGTACAGATACATGCTCAATAAACAGTAGCTGTTATCACTCCTCCCTGGCCTCACTATTAAAATAGACAGATTTATCTCCCCACCTGGACAAACGGCTCTCCAAGGAGCTGGCATCCTTCATCTCTGCTCCCTAACCTTTTGCGTAGCATTGCTCTTGCCCCACAGCAGATGCACTATAAACTCTGAAGTGAAATTACGAGTTAGATGTGCATTTGGGGGATCGACTGACCACAAAGTGTTTTTGATAAAGTACATTTTCTCATTATAGTTTCCTTGGTTTTATTTGATTCGCTTTCCACTATCGGCAGAGAGCATGTCCACACCACACTCCAGGCGCCCACCTGGCCACCCCGCCTTACCTGCCAAGCACTGCACCAGTGGGGACTCGGAGCCAGGGACTCTGGACTTGACCCCCACAGCAACGTCAGCGTCAAAGACCACCTTAGATTCTGGAGCCTTCTCAAATTTCTGCATCACTGAAAGAAAATTTGAAATTTATAAAATCTGACTCTGAAAGGTAGAAAAAGTGCTAGAGAGAAGTCACCTCCCATGCATAGCCCTTGGTCACACACATGGCCCAAGGAAAGAATTCCCTTTGCAGGTATTTCCAGCATGCCGCCTCGTGTGTAACACTGAGAGCTATAACACAGCAGTCCCTAAACTTTTTGGCACCAGGGGCCGGGGCTCCGATGAGAATCTAATGCCTAAGGGTCTGAGGCGGAGCTGAGGCGGTGATGCTGGTGCTGGGGAGCAGCTGCAAATTTCTGTGGCCCAGGAGTTGGGGACCTCTGCTATAACGTACCACGTTTCCCTTTCTCTATCTCATTTTCAGGAAGTACAGAGAAAATTCCCTTTTTCAATCCCATTGTCAGGAATTACAGAGAAAATTATGGTAATCCTCACAACTCACGGTATCTCTTTGATATTGATTTTCTGTCTAAATTGATGTTTCCCTGTGCTAATTATACAATTATTTTATCGAAAATTTCCTTTCCATATACAACCTGACTTTTTTTCTAGAAAGACGTTAAGTTATTTTTAAAAAGACAAATAAAACATGGACACATGGGTTCGTGTAAATCTGAAAAGGTGTCATGTGGCGGTGGCACTTTTATGACAGTATTTGTTTAAGTGATATATTAGCACCTGTTTTTCTGCCATCGACACTGCTGAGGTCCTATCTGGTAGGACTAATGTCGTCACACGCCCACGGGACTAGACAAGGGAAGAAAAAGAAACACGAGTTCTCAAAGCTTTAAGACTGGGAACTCACTCCGCACCAAGCCAAAAAGCATGGTGGGTAACTCTTCAGGAATGAGACTCATCTTACAAGCCAAAATGCCCAAGGGTGTCAGTATTTTGCCAAAAAGACAAGCCCCAATGCACATGAGTACTAGTTTTTCGCAGAGGCAATTAGAAGTGTGTATGTAAGCACTCTTTTGCATACACATCTATTGATTTATAAAAGAGACTATGTCTTGGTTGGTTGTCCTTATGTCAGTAAATTCAAGGCCATCCAAAGCAATCTTTTCTCGGCTTTCATAATAAGTCCAGAAATAAAAGGTTTATTCCTTTGGGATCAGGTCGGGAGAGGAAAGTGTTAGTTTAACAAAGGACTTGCTTTAAGCCTTCAACATTTTTGATACAGAAAAAAATTGTGATTTCATAAAGCGACCCTTCCACATTGATCACTGAGGTTGCCGAGATCATGTGCTCAGCCCATGCTCAGCCTTTCTGCTCTCATCTCTTCTTCTTTTTTTATTGCATTTTATTTTTCCATTTATATACTTCTTGTTATCCGATTTGTAGAGATTGCCAGCTCCAGGCCACCAAACACCACACTGTATGCAGCCTGGAGTCCCTAAGGTTTAATTGGTATAGGCCAGAGCTCACAATATTCTAGGAGAGTCAATAAAATGTGGAAAGGCTTTCAGTTTCCAACTAAAGTCTTCCCAGCAACCGAAAATGCAGTGAATTTCACACTTCAGTTAGAGGATCTTCTGATTTTGGGAAAAGGGCATCATGGTAATAGAGACCTTCACATTACAGCACTCTAGGAAGAAGCTCACGGCCAAACGGAACAGAAACAGCCATGAACCCAGGCCTGGACCCAGTAGGTGGAGCTGGAGGTCGGGAGGGCCATTCCCCTCTCAGGTAGGTACCTGTTCGGGAAGTTACATAACTGACCTCCATGTCTTTTGCTTGTTCAAGGGGACAAAGGCCTCAAAGATGAGACTACAGTTTCACTCCCGAAGAGAAAGACCCGCCCCAAGGCAAGCTGATTCTTGACACCCCAGTGGGGAAGCAGCTTCTTCACACGGAAACCCTCCTGGTACCCAGAGAGGGCGATTTAAGCTCGGAGTTTTGCAGAGGAAGCCAAGATGCTGGAGGCTCCTGGGAGCCATCCCTCAGGGAGGCACCTGTGAGCTGGCAAAGCTGAGCTGTCACTCATAAACGCTGCTGGACCACTGACCAAAGTGTCCTTTCAGCTCCAGGCGAGCACAGGGCGGGACGAGCCATGAGATGCTCGAAATGGAGCCACTGACAGCGTTGCAGAGAGAGCTGCAGTTAATGAGGCAATAACGCCAGAATGACTGGGGATCACCCTTGGGCAAGTGGCTTCCCATCTGTGACATCTTCTCCCTCAACTCAGAAGGACGGCAAAGATCTGCCTACCTGGTCTCTTAAACACCTTCCAGCTCTAAGACTCTTTGCCCCAGCTTTCTCAATTAAATCATTAAGGATAATAACACCCACCCCTTAGCACCCTTGTGAGGTTTAAAAAGGACAGCCTGAGTAAAATGCCAGGCACGGGACCTGACCCAGAGGAAGCCAGTATGTCAGGCCCTCTCTCTACACAGACATCCGAGACTCTGCAAGCAAAGGTAAGCCTCAGGCCATCCAGCAGCAAACGGCGACTCTACAGAAAGGTGAAGCAGAGTCCTGCAGACGGGGTGGCGGGGGGTGGGTGGCAGAATTAAAGGACCTTGCAGTTGTCTCGGCCACTCCTCATTTAACAGATGAGCAAGCAAGGCAACTAGGATTACCGAGTCTGCTAACCACGCTGAACTAATTATTACCTCTGTGAGGCGCATCTCTGCTAACGTACTCAACTCCCCCGCGAGGTAGCTTTAATAGTCCATTCTACAGACGAGGAAACTGCTGTAGGCAAGTGACCTGCCCAAGACGACACGGCCAGCAAAGGGCACCATTGGGATTAAATTAGTTTGGACTCCACTCCAATGACACCCAGTTCACCCAGGACTTTCCCACCCATCATCACATTGGAGACCTGTGCCTGGCCCAGGGTAGGGCTCAATGAATGTTTGTCATCTTCAAGGATGGGGTGACCCTCACAGTGTCTCAGGAGGCAGACAAGCGTCCACTGTGGGGCTGAGGGTCAGAGGAGTTGAGCAACTTGCTCTGGGTTACCCAGCGAGTACCAGAATGAGGGCTGGCACAGGCTTTCCACAGCCTCCCACTGACGGAGAGATACTGACAGACTTTTCTCAGGCACGCTGAAGTATTTAGGGTTGAGGTTTTATGACGTCTGAAACTTACTTTCCAGTGATTAAAAATAAAAGAGAGAATGAGAACAAGAAAGCAAAACACTAACAAGTGTGGGGTCTACGTGACGGTGTTTGTTCATCCTGCTATTCGTTCAGCTCCTACGTAGGCTAAAATTTTCCAAAATGAAAAGTTGGAGACACATGCATCTCGCATGTCTCTCCCTTTCTAGGAAGACCTTGAGAGCACGTGTCCCCATCCCCAGGAGCATGGCTGATTTAAGGGCCTGCGCATACCCAGACACTGGGAGTCCATGAGTCGAGCGTCCGTTTCTGACCATGGCAGCCTCTGCCCCTCGCCATCCACACAGAAGGCCTTCCCGCTGTCGCCGTCCCTCTGGCTGGCTCGGTACCGGCCGTCCTGGTCACACTGCAGGCCCGCCTCGTTCTTCTGACAGTCAGTGACACCTGGAACCAAGAGATGGGCGCAACAACTGATGACATGCCTCTAGGATCCCCTCCCCTCCAGACCCCCGGGCTCCCAGTCTTCGATCGGACATCCAAGTCACACGTTGAGCCAGACACACTCTAGCTTAGAAGTCATTCGTGTCCCTACTCTGACAGAAGGACAGAGTTCAGGCTCCCTTTCGGGCCACTAAGGCCCTGGTGACCTGGCCCCGGCCACCTAACTCTGCACGTGCTCCCCGAGCTTCCACAGTCCATTACGCCCGCCACCTTCTCTGACCCATTTGCTCCAACACGGGCTCTGCTCAGCTGGTCCTCCTCCCGGCGCACAGTTCTCCCCAGTCCTCAGTGAGTTCGCCCTTCACAGTTCATCAGCTTTCAGTGCGGACCTCATTTCCTCAGGGAGCCGCCACCCCCTGACTCCCCCCTCTCACACACTCTCCTGTCAACCCACGGCTCGCTTCCCGTCTCTCGCACCTGCGTGTGCAAATGAATGATTGATTGACAGCTGTCTACCTCCCAAGCAGACAGGAGCCTGATCCGCTTTTGTTCCCTATTGTATCCCAGTGTCTGACACATAATATAAGCTACCTGACCCCTATGACATTGTGATTTATAATGAGAAATATGTATGTCATCTTTGTCCCTGTTTCTGGCACAGAGCTCCTAAAACTTTTGGACTTTCCCAAGTAATGAAAGCAATAATAGTGTTTTGTATTATATTAATGAGGTGGCTTTTGGACTGCACTTATGGATGGGGGCTGGTTGCCAGGGGAATCAACCAGATGATTAGAGGGTTGGAACTTTCAGCCTCATTTCCTGACCTCTGGGAGGAGAAAGGGGTGGAGGTTGAATCCATAACCAATGGCCGATGATTTACTCAATCATGCCTATGTAATGAAGTCTCCAAAAAAACCCAAAAGGACAGAGTTCGAAGGGCTTCTGCACTGGTGACCACGTGGACATTTAGGGAGAATCTTCCCTGGGAGCTCTGTGCCCTTCCCCCACATCTCGCCCTATGTGTCTCTTAACCTGGCTCTTCCTGAGTTATAGTCTTTTACAATAAACCAGTAATCTAGTACGTAAAGTGTTTTTCTGGGTCCCGTGAGCCGCTCTAGCAAATCAGTCAAACCCAAGGAGGGGTCATGGGAACTCTGGTCTCCAGCCACAGTCGGAAGCGTAGGTAACAGCCTGCGCTTGTGACTGGTGTCAGAAGCAGGAGACAGAGCCCTCAACCTGTGGAATCCGACACTGTCTCCAGGTAGGTAGTGTCAGAACTGAGTTGAATTCTTAGACGTCTGCTGGTCTCGAAGAATTGGTTGTTGTTGGTGTGGGGGACCACCCCTTCCCTACAATACACTTTGGAATTGGGTCCAGGAACCCAACAAGATTCCCAATCAATAAATACCAGGTGAATCCATGGATAAATAGCTCTATTCCTGTGCTCAAGCTATCACTTCTGCCCAGAAGTCCCTTCTCCACCTGACTCCCTGACTAATCCGCACTCAACCTTCAAGACCCAGTGCTAGCTGCTATAATAGCATCTAACGTACACCTCCATTGTGTTATTAATTACACTACATTATATTTATATACGTAAATTTTTTTATCAGACTCTAAACATCTTGACAACAGGGAATTTTTCTTTACTCGTCTTATATATCCAGTATATACTTGGCACAAAGAGAGTGGGTACTCGATAAATTTCTAATGAATGACGTCAAAAGGGAATACCTTGACTCGTTCTCCAGGGCTGGGAAGTAGGTGAAATATATTCTTTCAGCCCAGACACTTGATAACATCTGATTTTCTATGTCTTAAAACTATTAGTTATAAGACTAACCACTGACTAATAATGACTTTTTTTGTGGAGAGATTATAAAGCCTTTTTTTAAGTAACATGTTTTGTATGCCATACCTGCTATGCATGAATTAACATATCCATAATCCAACAAATGAAATGAATAAATAAATTGCTAGCTAGCTACTGGTTTATCAACAGAACCTGAAATGTCATCTATTGGGCCTGTGAGGTTAGGAAATGGGAGAAAAGTATTTGCAAGCGAGAAGTATAAGGCAGACCTCGACTGTGCGGACGAATGAAGATTCTGAAAGCCACCCTAACAGCGAAAGGATATCAAGACCACTTGGCATTATTTGGACCCCGGCAGATGCTCTTCCTTGTGCTTCTCTTCAATACGATTCCGTCTAAGAATGCAGAGCAGTAAACAGGCAGAACGGGGGCTTAACGAGTCATGGAGAAGCTCGTAGGTGTAAGCAGGCCCTTCATATAGACTCTACCCCAATCCTGGAATCTATGCTGTTCCTCAGGATGTCTGGGAGAGTGGAAAGATGGGACAGTCCTCGACCACTGGGTGGGCACGCCATCGAAGCTCACCCCCAAAGCGGGATGAGGATGAATGCTTATTGTTCATCTTAGACGTTTAAATGGCTTCCACTTTGCTAAGGACTGAAGGTTTGTGCTTCCTTAGTTCATGTGCAGAAGCCGGAAGCCCCAGTGTGATGGTGTTTGGCGGCGGGGACTCTGGGAAGTGATTAGGTTTAACTGGAGCCATAAGGGTGGAATCTCTATGATGACATTGGTGTCCTTATAAAAAGAGGAAGACACAGATCTCTCACTCTGCGTGCATGCACCAAGGAAAGGGCACATGAGGACATACCAGGAAGAGGGCCTTCCCCAAGAACCTGACCACGCTGACACTCTGATCTTGAACTTCCAGCCTCTAATACCAGGAGCAATAAGCCTTTGTTGGTGAAGCCATCCAGTTTATGGTAATTTGTGTATAGCAGCCTGAACTAAGACTTGCTTTATCATCACCCTATGAGTGAGGTATCATTGGCCTCATTTAATGAATGGGGAAGTTGACATTCAGAGAAGAAAGGTGACTCGGCCTAGGTCCCAGTGCCAGTAGAAGGGAGGTCGGGGATGGAAATGGACCTGGTTCGTGACGAGCCTCAGCCTCTTCCTCTGTTTCCTGCCATTCCTGTAGTATTCCCTTCCATGAACAGGGATAGTAATCACATCGATCATCTTTTAAGAAAACATTCCTCTGGCAGTGTGACAGCACTTCAGTCAGTTCAGACCACAGTGACTGGAGCCAGTGTACCAACAGAGGGCGATGCCCGGGGGTCAAGGACGGCCTCAGTTCCTAGTGAAGCGTGTCTTCTCCAGGAGGAACGTCAGACTCCTGTCTGACAAAGTGCCTCTCACTTTTCCTTTCTTGGAATTACCACCTATTTCCACTGCTCTACTGACCACGGAAACTGCCTTTATCAGAGAAGGTGGCTTGATCTCTTCATTAGTTTAAAATTCTAGACAGTATTCAGATTTTAAGCAATGACAGTTTGCCTCTCGCTGACACAATTTCAGACTAACATGAAAGTTATGGGTTCTTGTTAGGAAAACCCAACGATACCCAGGTGACTGTTCAGTAAATAGGCCAAGTGAAATCACATGACATATGGGAAGGCCACACGTACACGCGGTCCTGACAAAGGGAATATGAGCTATCCAGTGGTAATGACTGTAGGTGGAAAATACCTTCCACTTCTCAATCTGATAAGGTCGACCTACAAAAGTCAGAAGTTTCGGAATCAGACAATACCGAGATCAAAGGCCAGCTATGTCACTTACTAGCTGAGTGACTTCGGCTCGATCACTTCTCTGAGTCTCAACCCTCTTCTCTGTACAAGTTAGGCTTATAATACTTACTTAGAAGGGGAATCGGGAGGATTCAATGAGACAGCACGAGCAAAATGCCTGGGCTACATCCTGGCAGGGGGCAGAGAGTCAAACACAGTGGCCCCTTTGATTGTCGTGCTGTGAACCCAATGGTTCTCAAGGGTGGGCAATTTTGTCTCCCGTCCAAGAGACTCCCGGCCATGTCTGGAGACACGTGTAATTGTCACTAGTCGGTAGTGACGGTGGTGAGTTGCTACTGGCATCTAACAAGTCAGAGCCAGTGATGTGGCTAAAATAACATTCTGCCATACATGGAAGAGCTCCCCCAAGTGAAGAATTCTCTGTCCCAAAATTTCAATAGTGCCAAGGCTGAGACACCCTGCTGTGGCCCCATTGCATTGTAGGGTTTCTATTTCAAAGCCGGACCCCGCAGAACTTACAGTGAGTCTGGCTGAAGGCTCCAGCAGAAATGGTGGTTCTGCCCATAGGACATGGGACACAGCTCGAGCTCCCTGCTTGTTCTTGGTAGAATCCAATAGGACAGGGAATGCATTGCTCATCCTGAAAATAGCTTCCTTCAGGACACTGAACTAGAAAAGAAAAACAGAGAAATGACGTTAAAGGTAAGACACTCGCTTTAGTTACCACCTCACAACACACAGGGTATGTCAAAGCCCAAAATCAGCACAAGAGCCCATTTATTTAACAAATGCACGTTGAGGCTCTGCTGTGCGTCCGGTTCTAAGAGCCGAGACCAAGCCGTGAGGACAGTGGATGAAGTCCCTGCTCTCCAGGAGGAGAGCGTTAGTGGAAGGAGCGGGCGCCAGACGAGAATTTCAGAGATGGGTACGAGGAAGCAGGAGAGGAGGACACGCTAGTGAGGAAGACTCTTCTGAAAGGTGATGCTTGAGACTTGAATGATGAGAATTGCCCCAGGCAATTGCCCTAGGAGAAGAGAATTCCTGGGAGAGGCAATAGGGAGCACAAAAATCCTGAGGTAGGAACGAGTTTGGATTACTCGAGGGACGGAAAGGAAAAACACAAACAGAACTACTGGGCGAGAGTTTAGCAGACAAAAGGAAGAACAGCAGAAGGGGAAGGCGAAGGTCAACTAGAAAGATGAGGGTTCATCCTCGGTCGCCATGGGAACACTTCCCAAAAGGTTAGGGCCACGTTGGAGCCCAGTGGGAGGCACAAACACTGGGGGCGGGCAGATCAGGGTCCGGTCCCTCTCCCCACTGTACCTAAGTGATTTCTGACTTCTCTGAGGCTCCATTTTTTTCTGTCGAAGAGGGATAAATAGTCATTCGTTGGAGCGTAGCGGTGATGCACAGAGCACATGTCATAGAGCCAAACTCGTATATGTGCTCCACAGATGGTAACTATTTTTACGCGTGAGGGTGTCCCTCCGTGCGGCCAACCTCGGCACCCACTCTGCCCAAACAGGGTGCCCTCTCTCTGCTGCGACTCCAACAGCTCGACACCGTCTCACTTGACTCACGCGGCCTCCCCGTCGGTCGGTCAGTCGGACCTGGGGCTACGTGAGGTGAGGGAGGACCCGGGGCACAGAATGCACGGCGGCCCTCAGGGTCAGGTCGATGGGTCTCTGATTCCCTCGGAAATGCCACGAGTGGCCCTGCCCTGGGAGGGAGGGCCTCGCTGCGCCTTGGCCCCTGAGTGCCCCGCTGGCCACACTCTCTCCCTCCCCATCAGCCTTTCCGTCTGCCAGAGCACAACACTTTCTAGCCCTTTGGGCCGCCACTCCAAATCCCACGTCATTGGCCTTTCCTAAGATGGCACGCACTGGGAAACCAGAATCCCGAACTGGAGAGACGTGTATCTCACAAAACGTCCAAGTGGGAGCCCAAGAAGCCCTGCTTGAATGGAGAGGACATGAACTTGGCCACACCGATTCCGATGGCTCGGAGAAGGGGGTGGGGGAAGGGGGTGGTCTTTGATTTCTTTCTTAGTTCAGAGTTGTGCTCCTGAGCGTTTGCCAAATAACTTCCAGAAGTGAGCTGTCACCCGATGAGGGTGGGAGCTGGAAGCCTGCCCACTCCTGGGAGCGCCTGCTGTGTGCTGGGCCCTCACTGTGAGCTTCTAGTACGTGACCTCGCATGCCCCTCCTTCTCAGAGGAGGAGCTGGGCCCAGGACATTCACACAAGGCTCCCAAGCATGCTTTTCTGCAAAGGGCAGTGGGAAGGTAAAATTGTCAGATCTTCCAAGCACCACGTCAGGTGTTTCAATATGTTATCTCGCAGCCCAAACAGAAAGGTCTCATCTCATTCTAGACTGTAGAAAATGGATGTTCAAGGTCAAGGTGGACCAGGCGACAAGGTGATAGAGGTGGGATATGAGCCTCATTCTCTCCAAACCGACGCCCTTTCTCTGTGCACCACGTAAGCACTTTCTTTTGACACAGTGGTAAGTACAGACGTGTGAGACAGGCTAGAACGGAGCCAGTGTTGACGTCACAACTCCTGTCTCGAGCAGGCAGGCACGCTCGGCATTTCTGAGTAAAACAGAAACACAAGACACATCCTGGAAACTAAGCGATGTGTTTTCCGGTCTGCCCTGAGCGATTAATATCCTCCCTCGGAGAGCTGGGTTTCATTACTTCTATGAGTCAGGTTGTTGATCAGGTTGAGTATTTTAACCCTGGTACAGTGACTGTTTTTTCGAGTGGCCTCCAAATTATTAGAGGAAAACAAAACCTTTTCGGCCAGGCTGCGCTGCCCCGCCCCCACGCCCGAGGCGCAGGCGAGGGGGAGAAAGGAGAGAGCTGGGGCCCACTTGGGGCTCCGTGTTTTAGGCCTCTGGACCATGCTCGAGGAACGTGCATTCTGTTTCTCTCCATCGCTGACATCGAGAGTCTTTTCCACCCAAAGGAACACTCGCGTAGGTCAGAATGAGATCGTGGCTGGATTACGGCCACCCTTCCTTCGGCAGGTGCGTCCTCTCAGAGACCGCTGAGTCCACGCCAGCAACTGGGCATTCATCCTTCCATTAACTCCCTCCATGAAAATCTCTGGAAAACCCCGTTGGCCTCAGTTCCCTCTTGCGTAAAATGAGACAACTTGGCCTGAGTTTGCGAGTTTCACAAAGCTTCAGGGTCATGCCAACGCGTTCCCCCAACAAGGACAGCCATGTTTCTGCCGCAGAAAAATAACTACGAAGAAGCATAAGGGTCCTTCACCCCCTTAGCCTGCCTCAATCAACCCCATGCCTGGCCCTGTCACTTTCCAACTTAAAAGATGTTTTCATGGTGCTTCCCCCCCACAACCAGTTCAAGCCCCCCCCTCCTCCCCAAGGCCTCTCCCACTCTGGTCCCTGCTTGTCCCTCTAGCCCTGTGTCCTGCCACGTTGCCCACACACCCCATCCTCCAGCCGTGTAAATCATGTGCATTGTCCCCATAAAGCCACAGCACTTCGCGACTCCCTGCTTTTGCAGGAATCTCCATTTCTGGAATGTTCTTCACCACTTTAGCACCCTCTCAACACAAGCGCATGTGTGCACGCACGCCACGCATCCCTTCTCACCTTTCAGGACTTCACGCCAGCCTTTTCCTCCCCAGCAAGACCCCCCTGCCTCCCCAACTGGGATGAGAAAAGCTTCTCTGGAGGATATTTTAGCTCTCTCTTCACTGACCTCGCTAAAACTAGATTGTGAGTTCCTTGAAAGTAGAGCTATGACTTTTGCTTTCCTGAGTATATATGATGGTGTTTGATATATAATTATATTTTGAAATCCATTTTGGATGGATGGATGGATGGATGGATGGATGGATGGATGGATAGATGGATGGATGGATATATGCATGGAAGGAAGGAAAGAAGGAGGAAAGGAAGGAAGGAATGAAGGAGAGAGGGAGAAAGAGAAACAAGACATATTACTTCAGAAAAAGTCCACAGAGAACTAGCTTTGTCATAAGAACCTGTCGCGAGTGACTGCAAGTTAATGTTGTCCAGAACGGAAAACGGAAAACCCGGATATTGTCTCTGGGTTTCTCCTTAATGCACCAACCCGGTAGGAGTCATCGGCAGGTAATTCCGAGGAGAAGCCACACAGCTGGCCTTGAGGCATGAGTAAGAGCGTAACTGACCCCACCAGCGCTGCACACAAAGCCTCCAACCCCCAGTTTCTGTTCCCTGGGTAAAGGCCGCGCCTTCATGAGTCACGGAAGGGGGCATCCCCGCTGCCCTCCGGGGCGATCATGCAGATTAGCCCCGAGGTGAAGACAGCCCGCTCCATCTCCACAGGACGACGATCTGTCTGTAGCCTCACAGCCGTGGTCCAGATGTGCTTCAGAAGGAAAAAGGGCCGATAAGAACAGACGCCAGAAGGCGAGGATGTGATTCCGTAGGAACCCGTTTAAGGAGGGAACCGCGTGATGCAGCGGACAGAACAAAGAATTTGGGACCAGACAGAGCTGAGTTTAAATCTCGGCACAGCCAGGTGACACGAAACCGTTTGCTGTGACGTCGCTATGAGCAGAAGATATGCTTTGCATTGGTTATTTTAAGGTTACCCAAGCCCCAAGCCCCATGAAACGGACCTTCCTGTCTCTACTTTTCAGATGATGTTTAGCAAGGATAAGTTATGTCCGAGATCCCACGTTTTAAAGGTGTTAGAGCCGGGCCTTGAACCCAGGACTGCTGACTTCGAAGAGCACTTCTCTAACTCTCCGCGGTGTGACGCTGGCTCTCTCATCCCTGTGGTGGGACGGACAGTACCCGACGATCTGAACCGAGGCAATGCTGGCGGGGCCCAGCGCATACCAGAAACTCAGCAGCAAAGAGATATCATCCTCGATATTGGAAAACCCAGGGCTTTCTGTGCTGCTCTTGAGAATTCTGCTCTGAATTGTCCTAACCATCTGCAGGAAGCGGGTAGGGCTGAATGAATGGTGTGATGGGCAACTCTTTGTGAGTCAGTAAAAAGCAGCAGCAGTTGAAAAACAGAAGGAACGTTTACGTCGAGCTGGGATCTATGAAGTGCCATCCCAGCCCCTCACATCCCACGTGAGCCCCGACCTTTCCATCTGTCAAATGCGGAAGTTCCCTGCCACCGGAGGCCGTCACGAGAGTTAAGTACCTGTGCAGGTGTATTTAAACTGCAAAACCCTCTATAAATATCAGTGGCTGTGTTTCTGGTTTCTACGTTAAGACTTAGTTGTATCTTAAGTTCAGTGAGGAGTTTAGAACTTGGCACAGATTTCATGAAAGGAAAGGCCGTGTTGCGTTTGTGTTGCAACCAGTATAAAGAATGGAAAAATAAATAACAGACAAACATCTTCTCCCTCTTCGGCTCAATGGAAATGCCTCTCTGCCTCATGCCACGTGGGAGGCGGGCTTCTCATCACGAGACTCTGGAAGTTCGGGCAGGAGACAGAACAATGGCCCCTGGGTAATGAAGCTGTGTTCAGTCACAAGGGGCCTCGGAAGTGACAGGTCCAAGGGAGCTGTGACTACGGAATAACAGTCACTGCGGCCTTTGACGATCAAAAAAGGAAGCCACGAGCCAAGAAGGATGGGCAACGTCTAGAAGCTAAAAAAGTCAAGGAGACAGATTCCTGCCTAGGGCCTCTGGTCGGAGTGTGGCCCAGCTGATACCTTGATTTCAGCCCAGTGAGACCCATGCGAGAGTTCAAACCTGCAGAACTGTAAAATGCTAAATGCGGGCTATTTTAAGCCCCTCGGTTTGTG